GAAGATATATAAATATATATAGTATATATAAATATATATAGTATATATATATATATATATATATCCTTATTTTTTTAATGGTTGACTTTTGTTAAACGCGGACACTGAAGGTCTGATATTTTTGTCCCATGTCTCAGATTGCTGTTTGCCCAAATCCTTGGGTGACTGCCTTCTTCCTCAGAGCACGTGCCACCTGACCATTCTTCCTTGAGAAAGGAGGTTATTTTCATTGTCCCTGCACATGGTGCTCAATAAAAGCTGTACGGAGGCATAGCTCAGCATTGTGATAAGGTGGTGTGCTGAGATTTCAGTTTTCAATGCTCAAGCAATTTCTAACAATTTGTTACTGTTCTTCTCTTATGTAGCATCAATGAAAGATAGTCTTCAGTCATCTCAGCTTGGATAGATTACAACTGTTATTCCTTCCTGTGATTGCAGTCCAACCTTTGATGAGACCTCTTTTAAGGTCTAGTACCATGTCACCATGCTGGGCTCATAACAGTCACATTCTAAGTGTTTGTCTCATTCCTTTTGATAGTGCTGATTTCCTAGTCTCTGCTGATGCAGAAGAAGCTGTCCAACTGGGCAGAGAGAGGCAGAGGGGCATTCAGCCATGATGAGAGATGTGATGCCAGCTCCTCTTTTGTGGACTGACTAGGAGGATAACTTTCCCTTTCACAGACATTCAAGTTCACTATGATTGGGGCTGGGGATGTGGCTCAAGCGGGTAGCGTGCTCGCCTGGCATGCGTGCGGCCCGGGTTCGATCCTCAGCACCACATACAAACAAAGATGTTGTGTCTGCCGAAAACTAAAAAATAAATATTAAAAATTCTCTCTCTCTCCCTCCCTCTCTCACTCTATCTTAAAAAAAAAAAATAAAGTTCACTATGATTATTTTAAATAACAATTGCCACTCTTCATTGAGGGCTTACTACCATGCCAGGTCTTGGACCAGATGCGTTCACATAAAGCAGCTTTTAAGCCCTGTGAGGTGGACAAATGTTGTTATGCCCAAACTGTAGATGAGAAAAAACAAAACCCAGGGGAAGAAGGTAACATGCTGCTGGTCTTTGAGCTAATACGTGATGGGACTAGGATTTGAACTCATGTCTGTCTGACTCCAGAGCCTGACTCTTAACTTAATATCAATGCTTGAATTTGTGGATTGTGGAACATGATTTTTCTCCCCCCTTGAATCAAGGGAAGAAGTTGGCTCTTTGCACAGGTAGGATCATGCTGTAAATCACAAATACTAAAATGGAGGGGAAAATGAATTTTTGCCAAATGCACTTAGGTGAGGATAAAAAGTATCAGGATGGGGTATTGATGATGGAGAGGTTATGGGATCTTCATCAGGAATTGAGACTCTTGGCTTATCTTTTTCCCTTTCTTTTTGCTTTGCTGTTGCCATGTATTGAAGACTTCGTCACCATCCTTTGGGGCTATTGGGAGGTGGTAGAATCTTTAGGAGGTGGGGATTAGTGGAAGTAATTAGAGGAGTATGCCTGCCCCTTGAAGAGGTTATTGGGACCCCATGCCTCTTCTCTTCCTTTCATTCTTCCTGGACACCACTAGCTGAGCAGCTTCCTCCACGATGATGTGCTGCCTCACTACAGTAGCCCAAATAGGCTAGCTGAACATGGACCAGAACCTCCAAAACTGTGAGCCAAAATAAACCTTCCCCCTTTCTAGGTGGATTATCTCAGGTATTTTGTTACAGTAATGGAAAGCTGACTAATACAAATACCTTATTTTAAAACTAAACTTTATCAGGAAGTAAGACTTTTAAAAGATAACCTTTGTTTTGTTCTTCAGCCAGTTCTTGACCTTACCTTCACTCAGTGCCTTCCTACTATTGGTTTCAGACTGGAGTTAGGAACATAGGTATCACCTATCTTGGGGAATGGTATTTCATTTTGCTTTTGTCATCTCTTTGTCATTATCTCAGTCCTGTAGTAACTATAATCATGTTGCTTGTCGGCCATTTGTTTGATGTACTCATCCTTTCTGTTACAGTTTTAGTTCCCAGAGTCATCGAACAAACCATCCCACTGAACGCCATCTCGAGGGCTCTGCAGCTCCATCCCTTTTTTCCAGAGCTAGATTTAAGTGAAGGCTACTCTTGCCTTCCAGAAAACAGACCCGGATTCCAGTAACTTCATTAGGAAGGACTTTTCTCCTTGTTTTTGTAACTAATAACTTGACCTTTTTAGGATTTTCATTTCATTACGTGTTTTCCAAGATAAATGCTTGATTCTTTTCTCTCTTGCCTTATATATTTAATGAGTTTTTTTTATTTTTTTTTTATCTTAGAAAGTCTCAAACCCAAAAGTCTTAAGGGTCAGGTAGAAGAAGTGGTGAAAGAAGAGGGGTGTGTGTGGTCATGTATGTATTGTGTGAGTGGCAGGAGTCAGTGGTGCACTAGAGACAACTCTTCTCTGAAGACATTGGAAGGCAAACAAGCTGCACCTGCAGCCCAACTCTGACCCTGGTGCCCATCAGTTTTCAACCTAACCTTCCATGCCACAAGTGCAAAAATTAGATCATTCTCATTGCCACAACAGCCGGATTTCTCACCATCACAAGATTAGATGCAATCTAATTCCTAGTGCGAACAATTCAGAGAGGCCCTTTGCCCCTTAAACAGATCTAAAAGTTGACTTCAGAGGGAAGAAATAGATAAGGACTATCCTCCAGGCTTTAACAGTTCTTAGTTCTCAATACCTTTCCATATTTCCCAAAGCAGATCAGAATCATAAGAAAATTAACTTTCACCAAACTGAGGATATTAATATTCCAATTTATCTAAAATGAATGCTATGGGACATAATATTTGTGTGTACCTTTTCCCCCACATCCTTGCCAACATTTATTGTTGCTTGTATTTTTTGGAGGGGGAGAAGGTACCAGGGATTGAACTCAGGGGCACTCACCCACTGAGCCACATCCCCAGCCCTATTGTGTATTTTATTTAGAGACAGGGTCTCACTGAGTTGCTTAGTGCCTCGCTTTTTGCTGAGGCTGGTTTTGAACTCGTCATTCTCCTGTCTCAGCCTCCTGAGTCGCTGGGATTATAGGCGTGCACCATCATGCCCTGCTGAGAATTGCCATTCTGATAACTGCCATTCTGACTGGGTGAGATGAAATCTTAAGAGTAGTTTTGATTTGCATTTCTCTAATTGTTAAAGATGTTGAACATTTTTTCATGTAATTTTTTTTTTTAGAGAGAGAGAGAGAGAGAGAATATTTTAATATTTATTTTTTAGTTTTCGGCGGACACAACGTCTTTGTATGTGGTGCTGAGGATCGAACCCGGGCCGCACTCATGCCAGGCGAGCACGCTACCGCTTGAGCCACATCCCCAGCCCTCATGTAATTGTTGATTGATTGTATTTCTTCTGAGAAGTGTCTGTTGAGTTCCTTAGCCCATTTATTGATTGAGGTATTTATTTTTTTGGTGTTAAATTTTTTAGTTTTTTATATGTCCTGGAGATTAATGCTCTATCTGAGGTACATGTGGTAAAGACTTTCCCCCATTCTAAGGCTCTCTCTTCATGTTATTGTTTCCTTTCCTGAAAAGAAGCTTTTTAGTTTGAATCCATCCCATTAATTGAGGCTTGATTGTACTTCTTGAGTTTTAGGAGTCTTGTTAAGGAAGTCATGTCCTCAGCCAACATGGTGGAGATTTGGGCCTACTTTTTCTTCTCTTAGGCGCAAGGTCTCTATTCTAGTGCCTAAGTGTCTAATCCATTTTGAGTTGAGTTTCGTGCAGGGTGAGAGAGAGGGGTTTAATTTCATTTTGTTACATGTGACTTTCCAATTTTCCCAGCACCATTTGTTGAAGAGGCTTTCTTTTCTCCAGTGAATGTTTTTGGTACCTTTGTCTAGTATGAAATAACTGCATTTGTGTGAGTTTGTCTCTGTGTCTTCTATTCTGTATCCAAAGGACTTAAAATCAGCATATTACAGTGACACAGCCGCATCAATGTTTATAGCAGCTCAATTCACAATAGCTCAACTATAAAAATAAACTAAGTGCCCTTCAACAGAGGAATGGATGAATGGATATATATCTCATATATATGTGTGTGTGTGTATGTGTATGCATATATATCTTATTTTCTTTCCATCATATATGTCCCTATATAATGGAATATCATTCAGCCCTAAAGAAGAATGAAATTTTTGCATTTGCTGGTAAATGGATAGAGCTGGAGAATATCATGCAAGGCCAATAAGCCAATCCCCCTAAACCAAAGGCTGAATGTTTTCTCTGATATGCATATACTAATTCACAATAAAGGAAGTGTGTGGGGGAAGAATAGCATTACTTTATATCAGATAGAGGGAAGTGAAGGGATGGAGGGGGTTGGGGGTAGGAAGGGTAGTAGAAAGAGTCAGACATTATTACCCTATGTACATATATAACTATATGACTGGTGGGATCCCACATCATGTACACTCAGAAGAATGAGAAATCATACTCCATCTATGTATTGAAGTGCATTCTACTATCATGTATAACTAATTAGGACAAATTTAAAAAGATGATATAATATCTGGGCAGTCTCCATCTACACTTTAAGTAATCAATAATCCTGGGTCTGTAGCTCAAAGTTACATTACCTTGAAGGTAACATAACATCTTAAATTATAGTTAATTTTGGTGTCATAGACAACCAGTGAGTCCTATTTCTTTCTATTTTTCTTCCATCATTCTCATTCTTCTCCCTCCTCCCCCATGCCTTGCAGCCCACCCTCTCCTACCTTGCCCCTACCTTGCCCTCTGCCCACCTCTCCCAGGGTGCCTTTTCAGGATAGATTCTTGAATGGGGCTTGAATATAGAAAGTGTTTGGTACCATGTTTAAGAAAGTTGCACCAGAGAAGAGAATTTCAGAAAGAAACAGGGAAAAAAGAAATTGGGAAACAAAACCAAAAGAAAAGGGCAGAAGCAAAGGCTGAGCAGATCTTTCCCATCTTCTCTCTCCTGTGCACAGAAGTCCTGCAGCAGAGGAATCCTCCTTGGACACGCTATGCAATGTCTCATCCATGTTAACCACAATCAAATTTGCATCTTATCTTTCTTATTCTATACCCTGATCCAAAAGACCCATCAGAGGAAAAGGATTCTATGAAAGTTCATCAATAGGAAAATCTACATCCTGATGCATAAGAGGTAGGTCCTAATGACAGCTCTATTACTTATAAGCCATTGACCTTGAGTAAGTCACTCAATCTCTCTGAGATTTTCTTATCTGCAAACTGGATGTAACAGTACAGCTCCTACCCAGCTCTTAGGGATGAAATAAGATGCTTGTAAAAGCACTGGAAACTATAAAATGCTAGTCGAAGATGAGGCATTATCTTTTTAATCTCTGAACCCAGTGCTATAAATGCTATGGGCTGTGGTCATTGCTTTTGACTAATTTTTCTTAGATTTCTTAGCAAATAGAGTGGGTGTTACAGTGAGGGATAACTTTAATTTGTAGGAGGCAAGATGACATTTAAATAGCCTACCAATGCTGTTTATAAGAAATCATGACGATGTGAAATCACTTCAGAGCACACCTTCTTTGTTCTGAGATGAGCCATTTGGGTGGGTCCTTTTTAGTTATGCAGACACAGTAAGCACCAATTATCCTAGACAGTAGGGGCAGTACACAGGAGTTTGTTTGCTTGTTTGTTTGTTTGCATCTCTAGAGCTTAGGTCTTCAGCACTGCAGGCAGATGGAATCTTGCTGCCCCGACAGTTGATTCAGGAGGTGGGCCCATGGCCAGAGTGTCAATCAGAGGGAAGCTCAGAGCTTATCTGGACAGAGGACTGCTGCCTTCTCACTTGAACAAGGAAGCACATGGCCCAGCTGATGCTGACAGACATCTTTAGACCCTGAGGACTTCTGTCCAATGACGACGCTGACTTGGCAAAGTGCAGAGTTGAGACATGTCAGAGACACTGAACTGGAGCTCTGATAGAACCCACCACGAGCCAATGACTCATCTTGATTGTCTAAGCCAGTTTGTGTTGGGCTTTAGAATAGTAGATATTGCTGGTGAAGTCATCTTAAATGGTATAGACTTGGCAGGTTTCTGGAGAAACAGTGGGAAGTTTTCCTTAGTATTCAAGGAGCTTATTGAGAGGAATCTGCCCAAGTCTCCTGACCTTTCCCACCATGATTCACAGCTGATGGAGAAGACTGCAGGAGGGAGTGTCTATAAGGCTTGCATTATCATAGGAGGAGAAAGGCTGACTGGGTCCTGGTGTAAGGGTGGGGATAAAGCTGTGTCACTAAGTTGGCGGACAAGAGTATGGTCTGTGAAGATGCTTGTGTTCGGTTTGAGTAGATGCTGCCAAACCATTCTCTCAAGTCAGGGTACCAAGTTACAGGCCTGAGAGTTCCTGGAGCCTTGTATCTTACTTTGGCCCAGGGCTGATAAGCAAGGGGTTCTAGCTTTATCAGAGTGTAGCAGTTCACAAACAGTAGCGGAAAAGTTGCTGCTAAAGTAACACACACGCACACGTGCATATACACACAACACAGATACGCGTACGCACACAAGCATAAGGATTCAGGTGGCATTTTGTTATGATTTGGCTGTGAGGTGTCCCCAAAAGCTCTTCTTAATGCTGGAATATTCAAAGGTAAAATGATCACACTGTAAGAGCTGTAGCTTAATCAGTCCCTCCTAGTTCGAATGGGGTGTCTGATAACTGTAGGCAGGTGGGGTGTGCCTGGAGGAAGAGGGTCACTGGGGGTGTTCCCTGGAAGGGTGCTTCTTCCCTGTGACCCCCTTCCCCCCTCTCTCTCTGTTTCCACCATGAGCTGAGCAGCTCTCCTCTGCTGGGCCCTTCTGCTGTGATGCTCTGCCTCTCCTTGGACCAAGAGCAAAAGAGTCGGCCATCTAGGGACTGAGACCTCTGAAACCCTGACTTCACCAGCAATATCTACTACTCTAAAGCCCAACACAAATATCTACTACTCTAAAGCCCAACTCCTCTAAGTTGTTCTTGTTGGGTATTTTGGTCACCGTGATACAAAAGCTGAATGAAACACATTGCAATTGGGGCAATAATTTAAAAGCAAATACGTTTAAAGCATCTGAATGAGGCTATTTTAAAGTGCAAGTATAAACCAAGTACCTGAGTACCTGCTCAGACTCTAAGTTGTCCTCCCTAACCTAGGAAGCATCTCAGCACCCCATCAGAATTTCCCTTTCTGTATAAAGATGAGGTGGGGCCTGGGGATATAGCCTAGTTGGTAGAGTGCTTGCCTCACATGCACAAGGCCCTGGGTTCAAACCCCAGCACCACACACAGGCACAAAATGATAAGGTGGGAAGCAGGAAGTAAGAGAGTGGGGTGCGTGTGTGTGGGGGAGGGGGAACAGTGAAGGAGGAGAGGGTAAGAAAGGTTATTTTCTACACAAATAGCAGCTCATCTAAAATATCCCAATATGTTAAATTATTCGATATAGGTGTTGACGAAACAAACAGTAAGGCATGGTATAGTGTTCACTATTATTGGTTGATTTTTTTATTCATTGATATATAAAATAATGTTTCAGTTTATCTAAAACAAAAGTGCCTTACATTGGGCTTAGTTGACCCGCAGCACCAGCTTTGTATGAAGTATGAAGAATTTACTTGAAGGTTCAGGAGAGAGTTGATACAAACTTAATTGATGTAATAGTCTCCTTTAAATATGTATTTGCTAAAAACCAAAATGTTAACACTGGGAAGACAAGGTATGCTCATTCAAATAGTACCTAATATTCTTTCCTGTTACTTCTCATGGGTTCCGTCCTTGGAGCAGGGATTGGCAATCCGGAGAGCTGGTTTCTGTGTTGAAGGGTGACACCATTCACTTCCTATTGTGTCGGCTTGCCCGAGGGGCTGGATTCTTGGTGTTATTAGCCGTCAGTGTCCTCTGCCAGCCTCTGGGAGCTAGTGACTGGAGCCCAGGCTTCTGAGTGTCTTCTATCGCTTCTTCCACTGTCATGTCTCAGTTGATCACTTTGAGGATTTCACATTCCATTCATGGACGTGTGGCAGAGAGACTTCTAGGTGCCTACCCGATATCTATTCACACCTTTCTCCTTAATAACAGATCTTATCAAAAGAAACAGTATGTTCAAATTAAACCCAACTTTTGCCAGCCGCCTGTATGATCCAGATTTGATCAACAAATTTTAAGTGAAAGTTGTTAAATGGGGACTCCTGGGAAAGCTTTTTTTAAAACATGCTGTCTCAACTGCTGGGCACCCTTTTCTACTTGGCCCTTTTGCCTGTCTGTTTCTGGGAGTACTGTGTGATTGCTGGAGCAGCAGTCGCTATTTGATGAACATTAGAAAGAGGGTCACAATCTAAGATGCTGCCCCGGGACTGCTGTATCAGCCCTGAGCTGCCTGCTTCTAGAATTCTCATTCTGTGCAAGCAGAATAAACTCTTGTTTATTTAAACTGCTGCCTCTCAGGTTTCTATTACTCACAGCTGAATGCAATTCTGGCATTCTAAATATTCATTCAGTATAATCCTCCATGTGATTAGTTCAACATTTTACAATTGTCTTTGAATGGAGGTCTGTGCAACAGAGATGTGCCCCACACACTCAGGTTCCCTGGCCTGGAGCATGAACACTCAGCTTAAAAGGTTCTGCCATGCCCAGCAGAACCAATTAACCAGAGTGGAAATGGGCTGGATGGCAGGGCAGGCCTTCCTACTCCACTGTTGTACTGGGGAGTCCATAGGATGGAATCAGAGGTTGAGGTCTGGGGACATCTTTCCAGAGCTCTCAGCTTGTTGTCCTCACGGGAAGGAGAGATCCGTGGCAATATGTTGGAACAGACATGAGGCTTCCTCCTGCATTTATACTAGAGCCATGTAGACCCGCCCATCAAGTTTATGAAGACCCAAAGTCTAAATGTCACCATCTTCTGGCAGGTGTAAAATAGACTATAATCAGACTGAAAGACCTAAGCAACCTCATTCTATTTGGGACCTCATTTTTCTCTGAAACTTAACCTCTGACCTACTGCAGTCCTAAAGTCAGAAAAATACCACAGAAAAGCTCTGTGGAAACAGTTCTCGGAAAAGCCGCAGATGGTGATCTCCTAAGATAGGCCAAGATATCGAAATATCTGAGATTCCAGATGGCCTGCACCTAGGTGTGGTGACCAATATCTAAACTAGAAGCCCTGCAGCTTGGCACATACCCCCCTTGCGACATCCTCACCGTTTAAACCAATTATTTTTAAATGCGTCAACCCCTTGAACTAACCAATAATCCTTTCCAGATTCTTTCCTGCCATTTGATAAGCTAATCATATTTTAAAGTTGTTGTTTGATTTTCCCGCGGTGTGTGATGATTTGCTATGATGTATGTGGGGGTCCCTGCCTTCTCCAAAGAGTGTATAAAACTGCTGCAAACCCTGGGCTCGGGGCCTCTCAGCGTCACCAGTTGCTGTGTGCACGCAGAGGACCGAGCTAGCTCGCAATAAACAACTCTTTGCTGCTTACATCGATCTTGGTCTCTGGTGGTCTTTTGGGGGTCCCGAATTCGAGCATAACAAGACCACGGATACTCTCCCTACATCTGCCTTTGTCCACCTGACCTGGGACTGGGATGGTCCTGTGCCTACCCCACCCCAGCACCACCGTCAGTGGAGAATTACAGCCACTGTGAAAAGAGCCAGAAAAATGGACACTGTAGTCTACCTCATTCCCACTCCGTTGCTACCCTCTGCTCTCCCTCCAACCCTTTTAAACTCAGATCCCCCCAATCATTTGACAAATAAAAAAGTATTTACCAGTAAAAAATGTGTATGGGAATCAAAATAGGTCAACTTTATACTGAAACATTTTTGTAAAGTATTACCTTCCAAAAGCAATTTATAGATACACAAGAACTAGAGCAAGTTTGAGATTAAGGTGGGGGGTGCAGGGGTGGGCAAAGGAGGAGAAGGAGAAAGAAGAAGAGGAGGAGAGAGAAAGAAAGAAGTTTGGACTTAAGCAGGTCTGGCCTACTCTCTCAGCCAATAAATGAACGCATTTCCAAACCAAGGACGTGGTCTGTGCTCTGCCAATTGCTAATTACCTGAGCTACACCCCTTAATGCCATCATTGTTTTATGTACCTTAGAAATATTCACTCTCCTGTTGTTTCTGAAGCCAAGCTGGAGCCAGCTTCTCCAACAACTTTCAAGTCTAGGAGCTGCCTCAATGGGTCACAGGCTTCAGGGAGCGCCACCCTAGGTGGGCCCCAGATCTCCATGCTAGATGTATGCTTGAAGTGAATGGCACCACAGTCTGCATCCTGGCTGCCACAATCTCCTTATCAGTCAAGATGGAACTGATGAGGGGCCTGTAATACTCCCATTCCTTCTGGTGCTAATGTCTGTCCCTGACAGCCCTGTCCCTGGCCTCTTGCAGGGTCTCTGTGCTATTGTAGTGCTGTTCTGCTGTGGCCCAGCCCTGGAGATGCTCCTGTCCCCCCCTTGCCTCCTCCAACCTGGGGCAGGGGGAAGTGGAAGGTCACAGAAGCACAGGGCAACTCAGGCTGCCTCTGGACTGCCATCTCTCCAGATAAATGCTTGGGAGATCCCTTGTCTGGATCTTACCAGTCACACAGGAGCTGTCAGTAAAGCAGGTAGCCTGGTGTCTGGATCTCTTCTGGCCCCACAACATTAGGTCACAGAAGTGGTTTGTTAACATTTGAATCACTTGATCCACCTAAGCCTCAGTGTTATGGTTTGGATGTGAGATGTCCCCCCAAAGCTCCTGTGTGAGGCAATGCAAGAAAGCAGTGAAATGACTGGGTTGTGAGAGTCTTAACCTGATCAGTGCATTAATCCCCCATAGGGATTAACTGAGTGGAAATTAAAGGTGGGCAGGGCGTGGCTGGAGGAGGTGGGCATTGGGGGCATAACTTTAGGGCATATATTTCGTATCTGGCCAGTGGAGTCTCTGCCTTCTGATCATCATGTGAGCTGCTTCCCTCCACCACCCTCTTCCACCCTGATATTCAGCTTCTCCTTAAGCCCCAAGGAATGGAACCGGCTGTCTATGGACTGAGACCTGTGAAAACATGAGCCCTTAAGTGAACTTTTCCTTCCCTATAATTGTTCTGGTTGGGCCTCTTAGTTACAGTAGCAAAAAAAACAAAACAACAACAACAACAAAAAAAAAAAAACTAAGACATTCAGTTTCTTTTTCTGTAAGATGGGAATAAATAATGGTACCTTTATGTTGCTGTCTTTTTCTTCCCATTTGCTACAGGAAACATATGGCTTCATGGTTAGTCATGCAAACTGTTAAGCTAGGTTGCCTGAGGTCAAGTACTGCCTCTGTTAAGAAAAAAAAATCCTGGATAACCATAGCAAACTGCTTGAGTGCTCTGTATCTCAGTTTCTCCACCTGTAAAATGGGGACAGTAACATTACCATACAGGGCTGTTGTGGAAATTAAGGAATCGAGTATCAAAGAACTTAGAGGAGCCTATAGCAATAAGATAGTAAGAGCCAAGCGTCAGAACACTTATCATAGAGGCAGGGCTCATTATTTATGCCCATCTTACAAATAAGTAAACTGATGTTTAGAGGGACAAAGTGGTTCAAACGTCAGGCAACAGCATTTTTGTATGCTTTTGAGGAATTTGGGACTTCTCGTTCTTTGCTTTGAGAATTCCTGGATCCCATCAGTTACAAGTCATCATTTGTGGTTTGGATCTTACTGTCCCTAAAACCATGTGTTGATAGCTTGTTTGCCAGCCTGTGGGACTATTGGGGGGTGGAGGTGGTTCTAGTGGAAGGAAGTTAGGTCACTGAAGCATTTTCCTCTCTCTGTCTCTTTGCTTCCTGGATACCATGAAGTGAGCAGCTTTACTCCACCACCTGCTCCCTGCCATGATGTGCTGCCTCACCCCAGACCCTGTCAGTAGGGCCAACCAACCATGGACTGAAACCTCTAAAAGTGAGCCAAATAAATTTTTTCCTCTTTTAAAGCTGATTTTTCTCAGGCATTTTGTCACAGCTATGGAAAGCTAACACAGCACCCATACTTCTCACTTCAATGTTGTACTTTACCAACTGTTTCTCCACCCCTCAAAAACCTAAACTGTAAATAAATTTCTTCCCTCATTTCCAGTAATAGCCCCTAATTTTCTCCCACAATTTTAATACCCTTCTCTCCTGGAGCCACACGATAGGGGCATGTTCTCCTGGGTTCCTTGTGTCTTCCTTGCAAAGAGAGGATGCAGTCCCTGCAGAGAGGTAGGCCTCCAGCCTGCAGGGACAGTTGGCTGCCTTGGGTGATAACTGCACCAGTTTGCAGGAGCAGCTGAGAGCTGCTTCCTTTCCTTTGCAGTTCACACTTAATAATGAGCTCTTGCCTCATCACCATCTTAGGTTTCCTGTTCTAGGTTTCTGGCTCATGAAACCAAAATTCCCTTCTGCTACATCTTCTCAGCCTACTTCCGGGAAAGATGCAGGATCTCTTCTTCTGAATGGTCTCATTCTGCATGTGGCCTTATTGTCTGGCTTTTCTACAATGACCTTGGGGCTTTTTCTCTCAGCTTCTATCTGACCTTCAAGTCTGGCTGTCCTGGAGCACACATTAGCAGTTCTCACACCCAACAGCTAATTGTTTATGTCAGGAAATGTTATTTATCTACTCTCCCCAGAAGTTCAGGGCAACACACCTACAAAACGCCACTCAGACTAAGCATGATTTCTTTATCTTGTCCCCCAAAGAATTGGGTTTAGAAAATGATTTTCTATCAAGTGACAAGTCTCAAAATATATGACAGTGTTTAGAACTGCACTAAAAGTAAGTCTGCCTTCTGACACTGATCATCCCCCTACCCACTGTACCCCTTTGCAGAGGCAATCACTGTTATAGGGAGAGAATCCCTTATCCAAAATGCTGAAGTGTTTTGGAATATTTGCATGTATAATGTGATTTCTTAGGAACAGGACACAAGTCTAAACACAAAATCTGTTTCACATATTCCTTCTATGCCTAGCCTGAAGGTAATTTTTATGCAATATTTTTGACTTCCATCCATCCTGTGAGGTCAGATGCAGAACTTTCTACTTGCAATGTCATGTCAGCACTCAAATAGTTTCAGATTTTAAAGCATTTCAGATTTTGGATTTGGGGATTAGGGGATGCTCAACCCATAATAATTTTTTGTTTTGCCTTCCAGAAATATATGGGCCTGAACCATTGACATTGTCCTGGCCCTTGACTTTTTTCAATAATAACATATCTTGTAGCTCTTTCCATATGCAAACATAGACATGCTTTTTATTCTTTTAAATAGTTGCATAATATTTCATTATGTATGAAAGTACCTGTATTATTTTCCCATTGTTTCTGTAACAAATTATCACAAATTTAATGGTTTGAAACAACACAAATTCGGGGGATAATAGAGGATAGGAAAGACAGCAGAACACAACAGACACTAGTATGGCAATATGTAAATCAATGGATGTGTAACTGATGTAATTCTGCAATCTATATGGGGTAAAAATGGGAGTTCATAACCCACTTGAATCAAAGTGTGAAATATGATATATCAAGAAATTTGTAATGTTTTGATCAACCAACAATAAAAAATTAAAAAAAAAAAGAAACAACACAAATTCAATATCTTACAGGTCTAGAGGTTAGACATTCAAAATTGGTCACACTGGGTGAATGTTGAGATGTTCCCAGGCCATGTTCCTTCTGCAGGCTTGAGAGCAGAATCCACTTTCTCACATTTTCCAGCTTCTCAAGGCCTCACCCACATTGTGGCTCCTAGCACCCCCCCACACACACACCCCAGCAGACACATCACTCTGACTTTAGTACCTGTCATCACATCTCATTCTCTCTCAGTCTTACACTTCTGCTTTGTGATTTCACTGGGCCACCTGGATAATCCAGCACCATCTCCCACTTCAGATCTTCACTGCATGACACGTGCAAAGTCCCTTTTGCTGTAGCAGGTAGCATATTTACAGAATCATGGCATCTTTGTAGGGAGACCTTCACAAGTGGGACTAGTGGCCTATGGAAGGAGAGTTCCCTCACCCCATCCTTCTGCCATGTGAAGACACAGCAAGAAGTCATAGTCTGTGAACCAGGAAGGGCCCATCCTGGACACTGAATCTGCGAAAGCCTTGATCTTGAACTTCCGGGCACCAGAACTGGAAGAAATAAATTTCTGTTTTTATAAGTCACCCAGCCCTTGGTATTCAGTTAAAGCCGTCTGAGCAGACGAAGACACCCTTCATTCAATGAACATTTATTAAGTGCCTACCTTGTCCCACGCATTGTGTTAGACATTGTTGGGGATACAAAGACATTTCATTTTTAAAAGATCCTTGTTTCAGGTAGGTCACACATCAATGGAGTAAAACAGAAGTGTTTCCTGGACTTGGACCAGGAATGTCAACTAACTATAGCAGAAAAAATAACAAGTACAAGAAGTTCCAAAGCAACTTGGGAGCCCAAAAGAAGTACATAAAGGGTC